CAAGATAGAGACTGGCATATGTCCCAAAAATATAAAAATCAAGGAAAACGTACACGAAGGGGAACAGCTGACCCCCCTCCCTTGTATCTGCCTCCACCCCTGACTGGAAATGTCGGACTTGAAGTCAGCTAAATCACTCTTAACTCTCTTGTTCTTTAACCTCTCCTTAAACAAAGTCTCTGAATCTCTATCAATATAAGTAATAAACCAACCTTTAGGAGTCTCCTCAACCTTACACTTACCCGTCTTCCCAAGATGCTTGATGAACTCAGTCAACGTCGCCCACTCAGTCGAGTTCATATGAACATGATGCCTATCGTTAATATACTCATTGTAGACAACAGTGGCGGCGATACGAGAGAAACGGTGGCTCCGCCTCATCAGATCGAGGAACGTCTGCTCGAATTCTTCAGAGTAACCATCGACAACACGAGTGGGATTCTGCCCAAAGACTTGCATCTGCCTCTGATAAGATTCGCTCATACAATGACACTTGAAACCATTCTCGTCTCGGCATTGTTTCTGACCATCTGTGGTTTAAGCTTGACCGGATGACTTGAGGAGGAAGCTACCTAATCCTAAACCGAGATATGGTTAATTAGAGATAAGAATTATTAGGTTTTGATGTTATCTAATAAGTGGTTTTCTAATAGGATTAGGAGTGTTTGCTTTCCTATAAATATACATGTTGAGACATGACATAATGTATGAGTTGGAGAGATTGAGAGCTTTAGTTTTTGAGAGAGTTTTCTAAAGCTAATAAAGAAAGGTGTTCTTTATATTTGAGTTCTTAAACACATCCTTGAATACTAGAATTGGTATCAGAGCCTAGGTCAAGATTGTGGACCTAGGGGAGTGGATATGGGTTTGAGGGGAAGTATTGGAATACAAACCAATATCCCACATCGAAAGATTAGAAAGAGAAGTTTCTAATATATAAGTCAAGTCAAACTCCAATTAGTATGAGGCCTTTTGGGAAGGAGCCCAACAAATCTGTGAGGGCTTGAGTGATAAGCCCAAAGCGGACAATATCATACTAATGGAAAGTTGGCTTGGTTATAGAGATTCCAACATCTGACAATACCACCATCGAAGCTTCTGAAGACCTTTGGCTTTGATTCGATTCGCAATCGCCTTCGGGGTTAGAAAATCGTTCTTACCCATCGATGTTTCTTGGATTTGTCGAGCAAAATTACCAACTGATTAATTCAGATAAAAGGAGCAGAGACCTGAATTGATGGAGAATGATGAAGATTTCAATCGGATGGGATTGAAGTTATTCAGAAAAAATCGAGTCTTCGATTTCCTTCTTGATGGTTGGAGGGGTCGGCCGGCGATAAGTAAACTCATGTCAAAATATAGTTTACCATCAATAAGGCCTATTATTTAAAGCCCATATAATACTGGGCTTTTAAGTTATTTTAATGCACAATTGCAGACTTAATTAATTTCTCAGACCGGGTAGAGACCACCCTTATTGGTGGTAATCTTAGGGCATCTCCAACAAGGGATGCTTAACAAGGGTGTTAACAAAAAGAAAAATGTAAAATAGCAAAAAAATAAGAAAGAGACAGTAGAAAGACTCTAGAAGTGCTAATTTAAAGAACGGGTGCTAACACTATTTCTCTGACAAAGTATGCAAAGTATACATGTATCTTTGTGAATGGTCCAATTTTATTAAAAAATTAAATCATAATTATATAATTAAAATATTATTTATAAAAAATAATTTAGCATCTCTAGCATGGTATCACCGTTAGAGATTACCTTAGGGCATGCACATGGACGTACCCACAAGAGTCCTACACCCAAAAAAAAGAAAAGAAAAAAGAAAAAAAAAAAATCTGAAGGATGTACGCATTTGTGCGACGGTCCCGTTTGTTGTTGCCCCTTTTCGCGGGCCCCACTGACACGTGGCGGCCCGCGATTGGTTATTTATTTATTTTTTATTTTTATTTTTTAAAAAAAAATCGTAAAAGAAAAAAAAAAAAAAATTGGGACAAATGTTTGTCCCACCAATGTGCATGGTCTTAGATAATAACATTAAGTGTTGAATATTGATTATTTTTAAGGACTGACTTTTAATTAAGAGCCAAAAATTGAGTTAAGAGACGCATGCGTGTTACCACCGGATTGGTCAAAGAAGAAAAAATGGAAAAATTATTGTGTTTTATGTTATAAATTGTATCTCATGTATCTTTAAAACTTTTAATTTGCAATAATTATTACGTTTTTAAAAATTAAAATTGTTAATTTAATTTCATTTTTAAGAATTTTTTTTTCTAGAACCAGAAGTTAAGAGCCTACTGTTGAGCATAATTTTAATCTTATAAATTATAGTAGATAAGTTTTATTGAAAATATGATAAATCTGTATATATGAAAGAAGTTGATGTTCTTTAGAAGATTCCATCAAAACTGGTTGTAACAACAGAAATTGAGTCGACATGAATTGAACCGATACGGACCAATACATGTTGTAACAGAGACTGACCTTGTTCTGTTATGAACTGACCTTATATCACTAAGAGAATATTTGAAAACGTCCTTGAAGAGACAGTTTCTTAGCTCAGTCCCATGATGATTAGGGTTAAGAGGATTTTTCCATAAAAGGAAAGCTACATCGATATAATACGACACGAAATCGAAAGCAAGTACAAGAGATTCAACCAAAACTTCAAGGCACACGGATCGACTCTATAAACTCGTTAAGAATTTATAGATTGTTTCATTGTGCTTTGATTCTTGTAGCATGCAACCGACATAAACGAAGCCAAGCTAAAACAAGAAAGAATCAGTTACCATCACACTCCGACAGCAATGTCCGAAGACCAAATGGATCGGCGGATATAACGATGTCGATCTAAATGTGGCAGCACAAACCGTTCACTACTTAGCAAGTAGCAACATAGTAAAACGTGTTTTCCGTAGGGGTGGATCCACGTTGACGAAAGATGTGCACCATATGAAAATGTAAAACGTTTAATTTATATACAAATTTTTAAGATTAAAGTGGCTTAATGGTAAGAATGCATATAGTATTAAGTTTGGGTAGATCTGCCACCAATAAGAGAAGGAAGGTTAATCAATTACAGTAATTTTAGTCTACAATTAATAGTGGATCCATAAGAAACTCGAGATATTGTCTAATGAGAAGTTTATTATGAGCTCATATTATAAGAGTTTTATCAAATAGAGATTCATATTAATTTGTTTGTAAAACATTAATGGAAAAGTAACCTAGCTAGAGAAACGACAGTTGCAATTTTCTCTTAACCATTTAATGAAATCAAATATAAAATCCATGTTCTTGGTGACAATCTAAACATCTTTCATACTTCACTTTCACTTGCACAAATGAAGTTTTAACAAATTATTTCATTTCAGTATAATTTTCCATATTTCAATGATCTAGCTTAATAAGCTCGTTTGAGCATGAATCTATCGAGCTAAGTTTTCAAAAGTCTTTACGTTATCAAAAGTCCACATAAACATTTTGGCATATTCACAAGTCTCTAACTTGATAATTAAGTGGATATGTATTCCTAGATTATCACCTATCAGCTTGGAAAGCGACGGAAAATGACAACTTTAAAGAAACAAGAGTTAGCCGCCGGCGGCAAATTTCGGATTAATAGAAATCAATTGCAACTGGATCATTATCTATCATGTTTTGGTTGGTACATATATAAGTCAATAAGTCAATGTATACAAGTCAATAAACTAGTTTAAAACAATAATATTACAAAATAATAAGGAGGAGCAGTGCCCCATACAATTTTTTCTTCTAGATCCGCCCATGATGATAATAGTTTAATATCATACCAAAGCTCGAAAGACGATATGATACATAAATAGTTACATAACAAAGCTTATGACAGACATGAGACAACCATTGTTGTGAACCAAAAAGGAAAAAAACGAGCGTGAGCTAGCTTTTAAATTACAAAAGTTACGTATTTGGTTTGAACAAACAAAAGTTGCAAAGCGCGAGCTTTGAACCTGAACCATTATGTTTATTCTATAATGGTAAAGATATCATTGAGTAGTTTACATAAATTGATGATAATTGATTGAATATAATCCCGAACCTGAAAGGTATATTTCAAAAGACTTTCACTTATTCATTGCCAATCATAATTAAGTACAGTATTTGTCTAAATAAAGACAACGTTACGTTATACAGTATAACGTAAATTAAGAAACATTTGGTCTACGGAGCACGTGATAATACCAAAAACCATAAAACCGCATTTGTGTAAAACATGCTCGTATATATAAAATGTGAAATCTACAATTAATCACTGACTAAATATATATAACTTTATCAGATATATTATAAGCACGGGTTAACCAGAATAACTTTAGGATAGAACACGAACAAAGTTATCAAAAGTCTTTAATTTAGATGTTAAAAGTCTTTACATTTTTGCATATGTGTATTCACAAGTCTCTTTCCTGATAACTAAAGAGCGACGAAAAAATGACAAAAATCAACAAAGAAAGATTACCCGAGGGAAAATGCATGTCAGATTGAAATCAACTGCATTTGGATCATTCCATTATAGTACTAAGACGGTACTGGTCCACTTATCATGTTTGGTTGGTTGATACAAAAGTCAATAAATCTATGCAAGTCAAGAAGATATTTTAAGACAATTACGGAAAAAAAACCTAACACAAAATTAGGTTTGGGTTTAATTAATATCCATTATCTGCGATATATATATTCCAAAAAACGGATTTCGGTCTAGCGATAGTAAAATGATTGCAGATACATATATAAAGAATACTAAATTTTAAAACGAATATCTAGTACTTATATATATATTCGATATTTTGATTTTTCTTCTTTTTTCTTACATATTCTCGGATATTCGTAGATAATCAATTTTTAATGAATAATCAAATAACAGATACTCATAATTTTGGAAAATAAATATAAATACTAAAATGATGGATAATACAGACACATACACACAGACACTTCCAAATAACCGGATATCCGTTGGTTAACAAGAGAATAAATATTCGCCAAAGCTTGTAATTAAATAAACAGACAATTAGATGTTGTGAACCAACAAAATTAGAAAATAAGAGTAAAACCGTTACCGGCGACGATGCCCACGTGTCTGCACCTCACCGTCTGGTTCCTCTTGTGTATATCCGGTTCGGTTCACCTGATTCGAGCTCAAAACCAAACCGAAGCCCCTACTACTCATCCGGACGAAGGTGATCTGCTCTGTCGTTGAACACGTACTTTGGAATAATTAAGTTACCAAAAAAAAAAAAAAAAAAAAAAAAACTAACCGTTGCTGTGGGGATAAATTGCAACAGCGCGAGCTTTGAACTCCATCTTCGCTGATTGGAGGATCCGTGCTCCGAGGGAATGGAACATCAGCGGCGAACTCTGCTCTGGCGCAGCCATTGACGAGGAAATCACCATCGACGACAAGAACTACAATCCTTTAATCAAATGCGACTGCAATTTCGTCAACTCCACAATATGCCGTATCACAGCCTTGTACACTACATATATCATCTCTTTCTCTCTTTTATTTCTTGTTCTTTTCTTTAGTCTTTGTGGATTCAATTCATCACCCATTCGATCGATGTGTTATTTCACTTTCACAGCAAGATTTTTGCGAAAGATGTTGTAGGACCTATACCTTCACAGCTATGGACTTTGACATACCTCACCAATCTGTATATACTTGACCTTGTATTTTTCCTTATCATCATAAGAAAAGAAAAAAAAAAAGTTTAATTGTACCTCAAAAGATGACATGCCTCTTTCTTTCAGGAACGTGGCTCAAAACTATCTTACAGGCTCCCTTTCTCCTTCGATTGGAAATTTGATTCGAATGGAATGGATGTAATAAGGCTCATGCATGGAAACCTTCTTCTTCATTTGTTTTTAGTTCTCTCTTTCTCGTCTCTCACGCTCCTATTGTTTCTCAACTACTGTAGGACTATTGGGATCAATGCCTTGTCTGGCCCCTTTCCCAAGGAAATTGGTTTGCTTACAGAATTAAAATCCCTGTAAGCTTCTTTCTTCTTCTTTGAAAAAAACAGAGTCGTAGTTTGATGATTCCTTATTATATAAAACCAATCTTGTCTATATATATTTTCTGCATGCATGCAGTGGTATTGGTGTAAATAACTTTTCCGGTTCTATACCAGCTGAGATCGGGAATTGTACAAAACTACTGAAAATGTGAGAATGTACAAAGTACTTTCGAGTCATTCATTTCTCCAACTCCAATGCTGTGTTTTTAATTTAGGTATGAAAACTTAACTAATCATCTTTTTGTAAGCGTTTTATTGCAGATATTTAGGAAATTCTGGACTTAGTGGGGAAATACCTTCATCATTTGCTAATCTTGTAGCGCTTGAAGACGCGTAAGATTTTACTTTTATCGAATTCGCATATAATTAAGTTATTTTGCAATAGTTTTTCTTTTTGCCGTGCATGGGATGATTTTCTCCTTACTGTTTGCAACAGTTGGTTAAACGATCTGGACGTTACTGGTCCGATACCGGAATTTATAGGAACATGGACCAAACTTACTATCTTGTAAGAATGATCTCACTTTTTACAGAGATATATCTCGAATATACTCCCTCGTTTCATAAAGATTGATGTTTTAAGATTTTTTTTTTTTCACAAAGATTGATGTTCTACCGATTTTTATTAATTAATATTAGTATTTTGTTAACTTCAAGAAATAATCATTGATAAATTCTGAAATTCTGAATTGTTATTGAATTTTTATGGGTTAATTGGTTTTCAGTACATTTTTAAAAAACATAATTATAAAAGTAGTGCATTTACTATTTATAATTAGCAAAATGATACATTTTTACTATTTATACACTATTAAAAAACCCTAAAATCTAATAACTAGAATATTCATCAACATATATTTGTTTTAAATAAAATTTCAGTTACATAAAAATCTATATTTTTCTCTATAAATTGATATGCATTTTATTTTAATAATTTTAAATATTTTTCAAACAAATTTTGATACGTCTAGTTATTCTTATGTACAGTTGTGTGTCGCTGTACGAAAATTCATATAGCAGTCTACATACATGTATAATTGTATGTGTACAAATATTTGTTTGGTCTATATATATATATATATATATATGTATATTTCTTTATGTGTAAGCATGTTTATTTGTAGTTGTTTGTTTTTGTATGAATATTTTATGTACAATAATATGTTTCTGTACAGTTGTCTGTCTGTACAGATATCTAATAATAAAACTGAGCTATTTTGCTAATTATAAATAATGGATGTACTATCTTTATAATTACAGTAAAACCT